GGTTAGCTCCGTGGTTTGTGCACGGTGCTGGCAACAAGGACCAACACCGAGGTCGCGGGTTCGATTCCCACTCGGTCCCCATGTGTTGCCAGGTCTAGTCGAGAGGTGGCGTCCCTGCCCAAAACAGGGAGGTTGGACCAGATGATCTCTAAGGTCCCTTCCAGCCTAGGCCAGTCTAGGATTCTGTGACTGTGAGGAGGTCCAAAGAAAGTTGGCCAGTAAAATGTCTGCGGTACCCTAGCTCACGTTACGTCTTTAGGGACAGAAAGTGATGGTGCTGCCAGTGGCTTGGGTGGGAAGGAATTTCATTTTATTAGGGTGGCCTCTGGAACAGGTTGCCCAGAGAGGCTGTGTCTGCCCCCTCCCTGGAGATGCTCAAGGCCAGGTTGGACGGAGCCTTGAGCAACCTGGGCCGGTTAAGGGTGTCCCTGCCCATGGCCGGGGTGAGGTCCCTTCCAACCCAGGCTGTCCTAGGATTCTGTGGTTTCTCACCAGGGATTAAGCCAGGACACTGGTGAACACTCGACGAGAGTGCCTCTTCCCAGCAAAGCTGAGGACAGTCAGGCTTTGATTTAGCAGGATTGGGATTTAATACCGGGGTTTTAGGACTTCAAACATGTTGGTGGTCATGGCATGAGGTTTTGAGAAATTATTTTCCATTCCTAAAATACCACCAAGGTGTGACATCTGTAATTGCCTTTATGTTGTAGTCACCCATCTATTGTATAATCATTAGTAAACCCCAGGCTGACTGTGTTTTAGCGGGTGTTGGAGCACGTTCCTGTTAATAGGTGATACAAATATTCCCATGAGGATGTTGCTGTTAATAGTTGATATAAATATCTGCATGAAGTAGAAGCTCTGCTTCGTATGTTTGGAGTGAATAAAATTGGTCTGACCTACATCCTCTGTGATCTTAAAGTTTTGAGCCTGTTTTTCCTTTTTTAGGATCTGAGTAGCCCTAACCAGTATGATACTGGAGTTGCACTGACTGGCTTGTCCTGTTTTGTTACTCCAGATCTTGCCAGGGACTTGGCAAATGACATCATGACACTGGTGAGTTGAGAAGATTGAAATCACGTTTTCCTGTAATGAAAGAATGTTAACCTGGTCAAAACTAGTAAATAGCTGTTAAATTTAGAGTTATTACGTGTGCAAACCTACACTTCGTTCTTGTGGGGTTTTGAGGGAGCGTTTACAGACCTGAGGTAGCTCAAGAGGATTA